ATGCCCTGCCAGGCGTTGGTGGCGCATGCCTTTAATCCCAGCACTCAGGAGGCAGAGGCAGGCGGATCACTGTGAGTTCGAGACCAGCCTGGTCTACCGAGCGAGTTCCAGGACAGCCTCCAAAGCCACAGGGAAACCCTGTCTCGAAAAACCAAAAAAAAAAAAAAAAAAAAAAAAAAAAGAAAAGAAAAGAAAAGAAAAAAGAAAAATACCCTAAGACTTGTCTATATAAGCCAATCTTATGCAGCCATGGTCTCGATTAAGATTCCTTCTTCCAGAGAGAACCAGTTCCTGGAAGGTACCCTCTGACCTTCACATGTGCATCATGGCATGGGCCTCCTCTCTCAACACACACAGTAAGTAAATAAATGTAATTTAAAAATTAAAATAATTTCTTTTCAGATAACTTTACCTTGTGTCAAGTTGACATAAAAACTAGCCATCACATTAGCCTACCTCATGTTGTGTGGCAGACTTTTACCAAGGAGACACAACATTTACATGTCTAGTCACATCACATAAGGACCCCACTACAAAAACAGACACCACCAAAGTTCAACCAATGGGTTTTACTGGGGTAGCTTATAGAATTACTCCAAGACAGCTACATCAGCAGGGCCTATGCCAGCATGGGTGACAGCTCTTGAAAGCTGGGAATCTGAAGCACTCCTCACAGCCTACAGGCAACTCAATGGGTTGGTAAGTATCCTTTCCAGGGCCTCAGTTAGTCTAAGCCTCTTCCAGGCAGCTCAATTAGTTTCTGCTTCTTCCAGGAGGCTGAACTGGTCTGAGAATGTTCCATTTTGTTAGTTTGCTTGTTTGTTTGTTTGTTTTTTTGGAGACAGGGTTTCTATTTTAGCTTTGGAGTCTGTCCTGGAACACACTCTGTAGACCAGGTTGGCCCTGAACTTGCAGAGATCCACCTGCCTTTGCCTATGAATGCTGGGATTAAAGGCGTGCGCCACCAACTACTCCCGGCTTGACCAAGAGACTCTCAGCAGTCCTCAATCGTGGAAGGCCAGTGAGATGACTTAGTGGATGAATTGCCACCAAGCCTGAAGACCCAAGTTTTCTCCCTGGATCCTATGTACTAGAAGGAGAGAACTCTTGAAATTTGTCCTCTGATCTCCACACTTGACTTCTCTCTCTCTCTCTCTCTCTCTCTCTCTCTCTCTCTCATACACACACACAGTATAGAAAATTTTTAGAAGTAAAAGAACATTCTGGAAGTAGTGATGTGCACTTATAATCCTAGCACTCAGGAGGCTGAGGCAGGAAGGTCTTGAGTCAGTGTAGGTGACATAGAAAGACCCTTTCTCAGCCTCCTTGAACAAACACACAAATGAGAAAGAGATGGTATCTCAGTTTCTTTTTTCTCTCGCTGTGATTGAATATAAGGAAAACAACTTCAGGGAGATTTGCTTTACTCACAGTTCAGCAGGCAGCAGGTTGAAGCATCTGCTCATATCGGGAGATGGGGATGAATGAGTGCTATTCCTTAGTTCCCTCTGTCCATTGTATGGTCCAGGATCCTGGTCAGTGAATGGTGCCACCCACAGTGGGCAGGACTTTCCATCAAGACAATCCCCTGCCAGCATCTGCAGAGGCCCACCTCCTCTGTGATTCTAGATCCTGTCAAGTTGGCAGTTAGCACTAACCATCACAGATGAGAATGTAGACCAGAAATACAATGAGAGGAACAGTTCAATTGTGTGTGGGAACTCTCTGGGACAGCAGAAACATGAACCTCTAAATATGTTTGTGGCAGTTTGAATATAATTGGTTCCCATAATCTCATAGGCATTATGGTACTCAAGGCACTATTAGGAGGTGTGACTTTCTTGGTGTGGGCATGGCCTTGTTGGAGGAAGTGTGTAACTGTGGGGGGCAGGTTTTATGGTTTCCTATGGTCAGGGTACCATCCAGTGTCTCAGTCAACTTCCTGGTTCCTGCAAGCCAAGAAGTAGCCAGCATGTTGCCATGTTCCCTAAAATGATGATAATGGATTGAACCTCTGAAACTGTAGGACACCCCAATTAAATGTCTTCCTTATAAGAGTTGCTGTGGTCATAGTGTCTCTTCACAGAAAAAAAAATCCCTATCTATGTCAATGTTAAAGATTGAGAAAATAGCCGGGCGTTGGTGGCACACGCCTTTAATCCCAGCACTCGGGAGGCAGAGGCAGGTGGATCTCTGTGAGTTCCAGGACAGCCTGGTCTACAAGAGCTAGTTCCTGGACAGCCTCCAAAGCCACAGAGAAACCCTGTCTGGAAAAAAAAAAGTTGTTCACTTCCAACTCACAGTAGTCCTCCTGCCTCATCCTCTGAGTGCAGAGATTTTAGGCCTAGCTTTATTTCTCCATTTTTTATAAGGGCACCAGTCATATTAGATTAGGGCATAGCCCAACTCATCTCATTTTATCTTGAGTAGCCTTTGGATAAAGTCACATTCTGAGGTACTTGGGGGTTAGGATGTCAGCATACCTTTTTTTGGGAGACACAATTTAATCCATAATCATGATGTTCCAGACTTTGTTGTTGTGAACAAATTAGTCTGAAATATAATGGCTTCCAAGGTCCATTGTATTATACTGATGGGCTCAATGGATCAAGAATTCAGATAAAGTGCCATGAAGGTGTTTGTCTCTCCTTCATGATGTCTTGGGTTTAGATGCCCTGGGATGACCTGACTGGCAGGGACAGACTCATCCAGTGGCTTTTTCCACTCAGAAGTCTGGCTGTGGGCTGAGACTTTAGTTGGTGCTGCTGATGAAGCCACACATATGGGCTTCTTCTTGTGGTTTAAAATCAAGGCAGTGTTCAAATCAGCCATCACTGTCAGTTTGACACAGCCTGGAGTCATCTGAGGAATTGCCTAAATTAGATTGGCCTGTGGGCCTGTTGGTGGGTGATTGCCTTGGCTGCTAATTGATGTAAAAGAGCCTGGTTCACTGTAGGTAGCAGAGTTCCCTGGGCAGGCAGTTTCAGGTTGTGTAAGAATGCTATCTAAGAACAAGCCTAGGAACAGGCTGGCAGGTAACCTTTCCATTGTTTCTACCTGGAGTTCCTGCTCAAATTCCTACTATGACTTCCTTCAGTGGAAGTCTATGACCTGGAAGCGCAAGCCAAACAAATCTCTGAGTTGTTTCTGGTTAGTGTCTCCCCTTCCCCTTTCTGCCCCAACAGGGCTTCTCTACGTAGCCCTGGCTGTCCTTGAACTCAGAGATCCACTTGCCTCTAGTGCTGTGATTAAAGGAGTGCACCACCACCGCCCTGCTGCTGTGATAAAATACCCTGAACATTTTTTGTTTAAGAGCTAAAGGTCTAGTTCGGCGTGGTGGTGCACACCATTAGTCCCAGCACTGGGGAGGCAGAGGTAGTTAGTCACATCTCTGTGAGTTTGAGGCAAGCCTGCTTTACAAAACAAGTTCTAGGACACTAGGACTGCCCAGGATGTTACACAGAAAAACACTGTCTTGAAAAACCACACACACACACACACACACACACACACACACACACACACACACACACAGAGGGGTGAGGGAGTGAGGGAGGGAGGGAGAGAGAGAGAGAGAGAGAGAGAGAGAGAGAGAGAGAGAGAGAGAGAGAGAGAGAGAGAAGCTTATTTTGACTCACAGTTCAAGAGTATGGTTCACTCTGAAGAGTATGTGGCCAGTCACTTTGCATCCAAGGTTAGGAAGCTGAGTATGATGAATTCTTTGAACGCTTCTGTACAGCTTGCTTTCCCCTTTTCACTCAGTTTAGGACTCCAGCCCATGAAATGGTTTTTTCCCACTTTACCTACTGTGGGTATCCCACATCAATTAACATAATCTTGGTAGCCCCTCACAAATTTGCCCAGAGATTTGTTTCCATGGTGACTCCAAATTCCATCAAGTTGACAGTCAAGATTAATCATCACTCTTCTGAATTTAATGCCTTTTTATATAGTTTGACTTTGAAAGGGAATCAAGACTTAGGGAGGGAGTCAGAGAGGGAGGTTGGCGTATGTGTGTATGTTTCCAGGTATTGAACCCGGGGTTCCCAACAGGCTATGTATTCTATCACTGAACTCTGAGACTCCAGTTTTCAACATTTGATTTTAAGGTAAAGCCAACTGAGTATATTTGTTAAAAAAAGGAAAAAGCTGATGGGAAGAACTATGTTAAAGGGCTGGAGGATGTAGTTCACTGGCTGTGTAAAGCCCTGGGTTGCTCCCAAGCACTGAAGGAAATATCGAGGAACACGAAAAGACTAATGGCGCTAGAAAGATCGTGATGACTAGAGATGGTAGCTGTAGCAGGTTTAGCAACTAGAAGTAGTATAGTATGTCCAGGTAAATACGAATTCCAGGAAGACAGCGGATAATTTCTTGTCTTCTGTATTTCCTATCCGTTATCTAGCAACCCTAAAACAGGAGCACAGGGTATATAGGGGTTGTAGGCACACATGTAGTGAGGCGGGGGGGGGGGCTGTCAGATCTTTAAAACACTTTACAGTTGTCACATTCCAACACTTTAAAATGAATTTCCCCTTCTACCAGAAGGGAAGCTGCTTTGAATTTCAGCCTCGCCATTTGCTCCACGATGGACAAACTGACAGGACAATGCTAGGCCAAAAGCTATGGAAAAGTTTGGAAACCAGCTCCTACTATGTGGTGTGGAGATTTCTGTACTGCAAACGGGCACTGGATTGGGTACACTGGAAGTGAGTCACAGGGCCTCTGGCTGGGCGGGTTCCAACTCCGGGACACCAGCTCTACTCTAGGGCGGATTGGAGCTTTAGCCAAAGGCCCCCCCCAATGTGCGCCTGCGCAGCCGCTGCTCCGCCCTCTCCTAGCCCTGCATCCGGGTCTCGGGAAGGGGCGTGCCCGACCGGAGGGGCGGTCCGCCGAGGAAGGGAAAGATGTCGTGGGAAGCTGGAGTGCAGGGAGGGAGCGAGGCGGGGGTGTGGGCGGGCCAGGGGGCGGGCCTGCGCGCGGGGTCACGTGACGTGCGTGGCGACGTGTCGGCCATCTTGTGTTGTTGAGGCTGAGGATTGACTTGGGTTCTGAGAGACTCCTGTCCCGGACCGCAGGTAACCAGTGGCTCGGTGTGTCTCCCTGCCCGCGGCCATCCCGCGCCCAGGCCCCGCTGTGGCGCCCCGAGCTGCCGTGGCCTGGCGCCCACCGTTGCGTCCCCGCCGTTCCGGCCCGAGCTGGCCGCATGGACACACTTCAGGCTGCCCGGCAGCGGCTGCGGCCGGCTGGGGGCGTCAGACGTGTGGACAGGGCAGGTGCGGGGTCGGCAGTAGCTTCCTCTAGTGCGAGGGCCGCTGCGGGCCAGGGCACGTTCCGGCCGAGGGCAGCCCCCTGCGTTCGCCCCCGTGGCATCGCGGGGGGAAGCCGAGGAGGAGAGGTGGGAGGCGGGGTGGGCAGTGTCAGGCCGGAGGGCTCGCCTTCCGCTGCCCGCTCCTCGGGGCCGGCCGCCCGCGCAGCCTCGGGGTGCCCCGGCTAACAGCTGCTGCGAGCCGACAGCTGCTCCTGCCGGCGCTCCTGCCCGCACCTGCCCCGGGGAGGTGCGCCCTTGCCTTGCCCACCGAGCATCTGGACTGGGGAAGACTGCTTCCACGGCCGGAGAACTGGTCTGGAGCAGGCCCCAGGCGAGGTGGAGTCATGATCTGATCCTGGGACTGAGAGGCTTGGGAAAGTAGAGCCCCGGGCAGCTCCGGGCACCTGAATGTTCACACCGGGTTGAAATGGGCAAGCAGTTTCCCACAAAGCACTCTTGAACACTTCAGTTTTGTAGGTGAAATATCAGTCAGTTCAAGTGAGCAGGGAAGGGAGGGTATGAAAGAAGCAGGTTGTGTGACCGCGTTTGGGAAGCAGTAACGTTGCTTTGCGTTTGTCTAGCACTGTCTCCCCTCCCCTCCCATTTTCTTGAAAGTCAAAGCACTTAAACACACCTAGTGGCTCTATTAGGAAGGTAAGTAGTCCAACATAATTTAAGAAATTAAGGGACTTGAATCCGTGATGGCTTCCTGCCATATACCTTGGACTATAGGTGGTTTTGGCTCAGAGTGTTGTATTTAGGGACTATAGTCTTCTGTAGTTTCTCCTGTTTAGCAACACTGACTTCCTAGATGATAAAACTTATCATCCTTTTTGTACATTAATTTTCGTCTTTTTAATTTTGTGACTCTTACCGGCAGAAATTGCCCGTTTTAGTTAGGATACATACTTTGCCCTCACAGTGTTTTCCTAGTGTAGCAGCATTTGAATTGCTTAAACTAGGATATGTACTTTATTGTCACATTAGAAGATACTAGAAAAACATTTAGAAGTCACACTTGCCTGGAAAAACCATCATTGAAGAGTTAACATAGATGATATTAGTGATTTGCTAGAAAGGAAAAGACCATACATACCTTTTTTGGTACTTGACAGGGACTTTAGGGTTTTGTGGCTGGGGAAGTAGGGGCTATGTATTTTTGGACAAACTTCAAGTACTTTACAGTGTCGTCTATGCTGATGACAAACATTTTTGTTTCTGTGGAGCTCATTTCTAGTAGCTTCCTCTAGTGCGAGGGCCGCTGCGGGCCAGGGCACGTTCCGGCCGAGGGCAGCCCCCTGCGTTCGCCCCCGTGGCATCGCGGGGGGGAAGCCGAGGAGGAGAGGTGGGAGGCGGGGTGGGCAGTGTCAGGCCGGAGGAGCTCATTTCTAAAAACTTCCTGATGTAAACTGATTGAAAGTTGAAAATATTTTAAGCTGCAAATGCATTTAATACAATCAGCCTGCTGCCCATCTTACCAGCAAAGCCTGTAGAATTTCCTCATAATTGTATGGCTGGATTGTGACTTTGTGGCTCTCTGTTCCTAGCCAGCAATGCTAGGGACCACATATTGCTAACTCGGGAAGAAATCAAAATTTGAAGAATGATTTCCACTGAGCCCATGTTGTTTTTACATCATAGTAAAGTGGAAAATCTTTAGTCAGTTCTGTGTAGGGAACATCTATATAATGTAGGAGTAATTGATGTTGAAAAAAAAATAATATAGGGAGAAAAAAACCAAATAACAAAGAAATGAGACAGGGTAATAGTTGTGGGAAGGGTTAATTTTTTAATTTAGTCACCTGGGGAGACTTTACAGGTAAGTTCAGATTTGAGGAAACACCTGATAGGTAGAAGGCAGGATGCTTCAGCCCAAGAGGCAAAAAGGGCAAAGACCTTGAGACAAAGCCAAATTTAGATGGGACCTATTAAGGGCTTGTTGGGAAGAGCATGAGGTTGTCCAATCTGGAGAAACTTGAGTGAGGAAGAAACTGATAGCAGTGTGTCTACACACCTCTTTTGGTAGGAAAATGAGATGGATCATTCACACTGTTCTGGAATCTCTTCTTTTCCCTTGTGACTGTGTGTGTGTGTGTGTGTCTGTCTGTGTCTGTCTGTCTGTCTGTCTGTCTGTCTGTCTGTCTGTCTGTCTGTCTGTCTAACCCAGGCTGGCCTCAAACTTGATATTCTCCTGCTTCAGCCTCCCAAGTGCTGAGCTCTATGGAAAAGGAAAATCAGATTCTATAGACATGAGTCAATATCCCTCTCTCCCTTACATTTGGAAACTCAGGTGTTCATGTATTTAGGGAATTCTAATGAATTATTATTATTACTATTATTTTTTGGTTTTTCAAAACAGGGTTTCTCTGTATTGCTTTGGAGGCTGTCCTGGAACTTGCTCTGTAGACCAGGCTGGCCTGGAACTCTCAGAGATCTTCCTGCTTCTGCCTCCCGAGTGCTGGGATTAAAGGCCTGTGCCACCAATGCCTGGCTAATGAATTATTTTAAAAGTAAGTTTTTCCTAAATGTGATTGGTGTTGGGTTGCCTGGAAATACTTTTCAAAAGGAATGGCCTTTAAAGAGGGTATCCCAACTTCTTGACTGACTGAAGTAGGAGCACTGGTAATGTGGTGAGATGTTAAGACTCAAAAGAGCTAGGAATAAAGCTCAGCGGTAGACCACTTGCCTAGCTAGCATGCCTATGACAAGGTTCAGTCCTCAATACTGCCAAAACAAAACAAAGAAGAATTGGAAGGTTTAGAATGTTTGAAAGTATAGGGAAATGAAGAAGTAATTGCTCTTGGACACTAGTAATTAAGGAATATAATCAAATGAATCGGTATATTAACTCAAATTATTCATAATTGGTTAGTAAAGAGTGTCTTGTAATTCTGTGTAGCCCTGCCTGTTTTTAATTGGCTCAGAGATCCTCTCCCCTAATACTAATGGATATTCTTGGCATGATTTTGCTTGTGTAGAGTGTTTGCTGTTTTTCCCTTTTTCCTTTTCAGACTAGTTCTCAAATTGATATGCGTAATAGATTGGGGAAATTTTTTTCCCTGAGGGCCTTTCATCTTATTTTTATAAATGCTGACTTAATAATCTTTCATTTTAACTTACCTGATCAATTTAGTATTTTGACTTTTGAAGCTTTTTTTTTTTTTTGCTGATGAATTACCTGTATGAAAATTAGTTTTTTTTTCATAGACTTGCCTCAAAGTCACGTGAAGATACAGAAATTGCAAGGTCAGAATATGAATGGAGTTTTGTAGCTAAAGAGGACATAGTGATGACAGTGCTGAGATGGTGTTAACTCATTACATCTACATCGTGTTCCCTTGTTCAGTTTTTGAAATGACATTTCCAAATTATAATGTATCTGATGTCATATCAGTTTGTTCTCATGACTCTGCATTTTAATACTCTGTACATGTATTTTCTTTTTGTTGACCTTCACAAGGGAAGATATGCTGGTAGTAACTTATCTGGGAAGACCTTTTTAGGTAGAAAGATAAATTTTATTCCTAGTTTTTCTAAAAGCCATTTAAAAAATTGCTTTTTTCCCCAGTTCTTCATTAGTTCCTGCTTACTAAATTTAATGTACTTTCTGTTTATTCTATAGTTGGACCAGTCTCATAGGTTGAATCTACAGTTTATGTTGGTGTTAATCTACGTAAATTAGAGGCAAGTTAAATGTCACATTTTCCTTCAGTAGTTTGAATTTTCTTGTACAAATCTGAACCTTTTTCTTTTTAATTTTCACTTGTTCCGCTTTAGCATTTTTAAAAAAATAACCTGTGTGTGTGTGTGTGTGTGTGTGTGTGTGAGTGTGTGTGTGTGTGAGTGTGTGTGTGTGTGTGTGTGTGTGTGTGTGTGTGTGTGTGTGTGTGTGTGTGTATGAATGCATCCATACCATTAATTGAGTACTTGTGGAGGTCTGGACAACTTGTGGAAGTTGGTTTTCTCCTTCCACTATGTGGGTTCCAGAAATTACAGGCTGGCAGCAAAAGTGCCTTTACTTCCTGAGCCATCTTGGTGGCCCCCTTATTAGTGTTTTCTGGTGATGTTATAGAGTACCATTGAATTTTGATGCTCTGAAGAATTTTGTTTCTAAAATATAAATACTTTTTTTTTTTTTTTTTTTTTGGTTTTTACGAGACAGGGTTTCTCTGTATTGTTTCGGAGGCTATCGGTCCAGCCCGGCCTCCAACTCACAGAGATCCACCTGCCTCTGCCTCCCGAGTGCTGGGATTAAAGGCGTGCGCCACCTCCGCCCGGCTCCATTTTTTATTTTGTAAGTTTACTTTCTTTTGTTTAAAAAATATTTGTGAGTTTTGTCTGTGGAGGTCAGAGGACAACTCTGTGGTATTGGCTCTTCCCATCCAACATACAGGCCAAGATCATCAGGCTTAAGCGCAAGTGCCCAAACCCACTGAACTGTTTTATAGTCTCTGTTCTCCCTCCCTTTTCCTCATGTAGACCAAGCCAGCCTTGAACTTGTAACTGAGGATGACCTTGAATCTCTTGACCCTGCCTCCACCAGAGTGATAGGGTTACTAGCCTGTGTTCTCACCCTATCACCCCATGGAGTGCTAGAAATCAAACCCAGAGCCTCATGCATGCCAAGGAAGTACTCTTCATTGAATTAGATCTCTCTCTCTCTCCCTCCCTCCCTCCCTCCCTCCCTCCCTCCCTCCCTCCCTCCCTCCCTCCCTCCCCCCTCTCTTTCTCTCTTTCTTTAGCCCCAGAACTTAATATTGACTAGATTATTATTTTTTAAATTTGTCCTGTTCTCATATGATTGAGAAATAAGCTAATTTCATAGGAATATAAAAACCATTGTTAACTTGCCTTTAATTTTGTGTGAGGTCAGGAGAAAAGGGAAGAAATGTGAAAAGAAAAGAGTATTCCTTTAGGTCACCAAACTTAATTGTATAAAAATTGTTCCAATTCAGTCCAGTAATACTAGCCCTTGGTGATAGAGCCTAGAGGATCAGGAAGGAGTTCAAGGTTTTCCTGTACTACATAGTGAGTTGAAGGCCAGCCTGGGCTACATGAAAGACTCTCTCTATAAAACAAAACAAAACTTTCAAAGTTACCATTCTATAAATAAGAGTTGTTTAATCTAGTTCTCCCTATTCCTTCCCCCTTTAAAAAAATACAGAGTTTATGAGGCTGAAATGATGGCTCATGAGCTAAGAGCACTTGATGTTCTTTATGAGGACCTGGGGTCAGTCAGCACCCAAATGAGCAGCTCACACTGCCAGCTCCAGGGAGGTTAGGCACCCTTTCTGGTCTCTCAGGCACCCCACCACCACCACACACACTTTATAAATAATAAATAGGTGAATAAATACTAAGAATCTTAAATGTACATTTCTTTTTTTGTTTGTTTGTTTTTTTTTTTTGTTTTATGAGACAGGGTTTCTCTGTATTGTTTTGGAGGCTCTTGGTCCAGCACTGCCTCGAACTCACAGAGATCCGCCTGCCTCTGCCTCCCGAGTGCTGGGATTAAAGGCGTGCTCCACCACTGCCCGGCCCACTTGTGGGTTTTAAGATTCTGTTTCAACACATCATTAAAAGCAGGCTATAGGTCAGGCCACAATGATAGATGCCTTTACTACTGGCACTTGGGAGACCTAGGTAGGTGGATTTCTATAAGTTTTCTAGAACTACGTAGTTGAGACCCTGTCTCAAAAACAAATACATCGAAGGCTTTACTTGTTGGATATTTGGTGACTGTCAGATCTTGGAGCCTTGGGTTATTTGCACAGGAATCAAATCACAGTTGTGATGCTGCTGCTTTTTTCCTTCCCTTCCATCAGCTGTGCAGTAAAGGTCAGTACTACTGACTGTAAAGCAGCTTTTAGTGGAAACCCCCAGTTAGTCACTTCCCTTAGGTCCCCAAGTGGTCTTTGCCACTAAATACTTAGGAGATTAGTACTTTTCCATTGCTCTGTAGAGCTAGTGAGATTCTCAGATGTGATGGAGTCTGGTTTGTTGTTGAATTTGTTGTTTCCTTAGTCAGTCTTGCTATACTGTCCAAGTCTTGAATTCCTATGCTCAAGTAATTCTCTTTCCCTTAGCCTCCTGAATACTCCAGGCATGTGCTACTGTGCTGGGCAGGGAGTCTGATTTACCAGATGTTCTCAGTATTTTAGTTAGGCTTGGAAGGTATTTCCTGTAAAATACATTTATTAGAAAAACTTGCTTTTTTAAGTTTAGTGAGATTGCTAGGTTTTTGACATGAATACTTTTTTTTTTTTTTAATTTACAGTGTTAAAAAGACCTGAAAAACGTTTGCTGAAACCTCCTACAGTGAGATAGCAGAACTTTTGAACAGGTAAGTTTGAAGAGAAGCACTAAGTTGAAGATTTATGCCAGTATTCCCCTATTCTCTAAGGATTCAAGCCAGGGCCTTGTGTATACTAGATAAGCGTTCTACTTCTGACCTTTATTCATAGTTCCCCAGCAGAGTTGATTTTTGCTTTTAGGTTTCAGCATTTTTTGGTCCATTTATTTATTTATGAGATTACAGTTAGTGAGAAGAAACTTTACGAATCAGAATAACATACCCTTTCTGGATTGTTCATAGTGTGAGTTTATGTTTTAAACTGTTGTAATGTTTTTTTTGATGACAAGCAGCAGGAAGAGCAATGTTTTGAGGGCATTATGTGCTGACAGGCCAAGGTATTTTCAAAGAACCCAAGAGTTGTTGCTTCATGAGGGACTTGAAATTGGGAAGCATTTGGGAGTAGAATGTACTTTTCTCCCAGCAGGTTATAAGTATCTTCTTTTTTTTGTTCTCTTAGCTGTGTTTCTCTAGTCAGGCCTTTGATGCTTCAGCAAATGGGTAGAAGAAAATGATTGCTTCATTCCTGGGGTCACAGATAAACTTGAGCTCCTCCAGTACCACCAGCACACTGATAACTAGCTCAGGGTCTTAGCTCCTATGAAGGAAATACAACGGATTGCATTCAGTTTGGTTCTCATTTAGTTGTAGCAAGGGTTGGGCTCTAGAAGGACAAATATAGTGAGCTGAAAGTACTTTATTTGCCTGTAAGACTAGTGGTAGATCTCTCTTTTTTTTTCTTCAAAATAGTGTCTCTCTCTGTAGTCCTGGCTGTCCTAGAACCCACTCTGTAGACCAGGCAGCCCTGAACTCATGGAGATCCGCCTGCCTCTGCCTCCCAAGTGCTGGAATTAAAGGCCTGTGCCACCAGGTAGATCTCAGAGAGTGTATAGTGGTAGCTCTTCTAGGGTAGACGCCAATGGAACCTTTTACACATTTTTCCGTTCTAGCATTCTAGAACAATTTTTGTATGTCTTGCAGTTTAGTTTTAACTTAGATGTTCTGAAGATGTAACCATGTTGCATCTGTTTTGGAGAAAGAGGCCCAGTAATTCCAGTGTTGGAAACTTATAGTTCATTAAAATTTTTTAATTAAAAAATTACATTTATTATGTTGTATATGTATGTGAGTATGTGTGTGGGAGTGAATGCCATGGTACTTGTGGTGGTCAGAGGAAAAAAAATCTCAGTTTATGTCTTTTTTTTTTTTTTTTTTTTTGGTTTTTTTAAGACAGGGTTTCTCTGTATTGTTTTGGACCATGTCCTGGAACTCGCTCGGTAGTAGACCAGGCTGGTCTCAAACTCACAGAGCTCACAGTTTATTTCTATTGACTGTGCTTTCATACTATGTCCAGGGATCATTGAACCTAGGGAGGGAGGGCATCAGGCTTGGCAACAAAGCACCTTTTCTGACTGAGGTATTTTGCTAGCCCCAATTGAGTCTTTTAATAAAAGTTGTAGATTTGGGGGTAGGGAAGCTCAGGAAAAAGGTTTTAACAGATGACTTTGGTTTGTGGAAAAATTCATCATTGATTGTTTTTATAAATTAAAATTTTGGTACTTTTTATAGTATTAAACAACTCATGAAGCTGTATAAGATTAGAGGGTTCAGAATTTATACGTAATCCTCATGTAACAGAAGTTAGTAGTACCAGGCCAACCAGGATTAAGTAAATTCTGTATATGTAAGACAGGGTCTCAACAGTATAACCAGGCTAGCTTTGGATTTACAGTCCCCCTTCCTCTGCCTCCTGAGTGTTGGAATTATAGGCATGCACTACCACACTTGGTTTTAAACTTTATTTGGGGAATAGGGTCTCATGTAGCCCAGGCTGGCAGATTTACTATGTAGCTGAGACTGGCTTTGAACTTTCAGTCTTCCTTACTATACCTCCCAAGTGCTGTGGTTACAGGTGTGTGCCATTGGAAACTTTATAGCCTTTGATTCCCTTCATTGTTTTTGAAGACAGGATCTAATGATAGCCCTACTGGCCTTGAAATTGCTATGGAGAATTGCATACTGGTCTGGGGCTCATGTGATCTTCTTGCCTTTACCCACAAATGTTGGAATTAACAGGCACGTGCCACTACACCCAGTTTATGGCAAACCAACCCTCCCTCCCTCCCCCCCCCCCCCTTCTTCCCCCTCTCTGTTTTCTGAGACAGGGTTTCTCTGTGTAGTTTTGGAGCCTGTCCTGGAACTTACTCTGTAGACCAGGCTGGTTTTGAACTCAGCCTCCATAGTTTTGGGATTAAAGGTGCTACTATACCCAGCTACTTTTCTCAGTGGAACACTTGAAGTCTTTTTTTTTTTTTTTTTTTTTTTTGTAGCTTATATATTTGTAGACTTCCAGTTTTCAATAAACTTTTATAGCTGGGCATGGTGGTGCACTTGGTTGGCACAGTCAGTCAGTTCAATCTCTTGAGTTGGAGGCCAACCTGGTCTACATAGTGAGTTCCAGGACAGCCAGGGCTACATGGTTAGATCCTGTCTCTAAATAAACAAAATTATATTGATATGCGACACACACACACACACACACACACACACACACACACACACACACACACACACACACAGATAGATTAAAACCCAAGTTTTAATCTTGGCAGTTGGTTCTTTTTCCATTATGTGTATCCAGGGTTTGAACGTATGAATTTAAGTGTGGCAGTAGGTGCTTACTTAACCTGCTGAGTTATCTCTCTGGTCCATTTTTTTTAGATGTAAAGCCTAGGGATTACTAATGAAAGTGGTACATTTATGTGGCAATAGTCCACAGATCTGACATCTTATAGTCTTTTTCCCCTGGCTGAAGATGTTTTGGTGTGTATGTGTGCATATGTATGGATGCATGCTTACTTGTGTTTATGTACATGTGGAGGCAAGAGGTTGACATTAGGTAGCTTCCTCAATTGTTTTTTACTGTTTTTTTTTAAAGATAGGAGCCCACTTAACCTGGAGCTCACCATGTTAACTTGATTGGCATGTTACAGGTGCATCCACTACCTGACTTTTTCTGAGGGCGCTGAAGATCCAGTTAGGTCTGTGTGCATGCAAAGCAGGTGCTTAACTGACATAGCCATCTCTCTAGCCCAAAGTCTTTTTATTTACCACATTATAGCTGAATTTATTTTTAAGGTAGAAGAGTTGTCTTAAATGATCTATTTTTTTAACTCAGGGCGTTAAGACATACTCAGTTTTGTGATTTTTCCAAAGATTTCCACGTTCTGGGTAAAGCTTTTGATAGTCTCTTTTGGAAACCATGGGCTTGAGGTAATATTATCATGGGACATGGCCATGTTGATGGCACCCTCATTTTTCTTAGGATTTTTTTTTTATACAAGGTCTGACTGTACTTTTGACTAGCTTAGAACTTGCTTTGTAGACTAGGCTGACCTTGAACTCATAGAGATCTGCCTGTCTATGCCTTCCTCAGTTGGGCTTAAAGGCATGTGCCCTCACAAACTAGCTCTAGAATAAGTTTTTATCCTTTCATCAAAAGGAGCACAAAAAGAAATATTTGCATATTATTCCAAAGCAATAGGAGAAATGTTGGTAATAATAATAACTTTTATTAGAGTCATCATTAATGGCTAGCATGTTCTTTTGTATCCAAGTTGTTCTGGGACTAGAGGAAGTCTTAGGAGCTCCAGTCTCTTTAGCATTTCATCTTTAGGTTGTAGAGATGACAATTAACTGACAGTAAAAGCAGTAGTCAGAAAAAAAAGTGGTGGTCAGAGAGCCTTAATTAATGTTTTGGAAACTGACAACTTTTTGGAAGCCCCTTACACCCCTGTTTCTGAGTATAAGAACATGCTCTTCTGCCGGGTGGTGGTGGTGATGCACACCTTTAGTCTCAGCACTTGGGAGGTAGAGGCAGGTGGATCTTTGTAAGTTCGAGACCAGCCTGTTTTACAAGAGCGAGTTCCAGGACAGCCTCCAAAGCCATAGAGAAACCTTGTCTCGAACCCCCCCAAATAAAAAAGAACATGCTTTTCCTTAAAAGAGGGATTACTATGATATGACGATGGAATGGGGTGGGAGTTAGTAATGGAACAATAGTGAGAAATATTGTGTAAAGGAGGAAAAAAATTACTCTAAAACTTGCAAGGAGATTGGAATGTGTATTAGGGCTTTCTAAAGGAACAGAACTGATTGAATATATATTTAGAGGAGATTTGTTAGATTGGCTCTCAGAATGTAGTCTACACAGTTCATCAATGACTGTCTCACACTGGAGAGGCTGGGAATCTAATTGTCAGTCCACAAGGCTGGATGTCTCAGCAGTTCCAGTCTGTCCCTGGAGGCTGGAAGGATTCCTGGGGAGCTGCTGATCTTCAGTCTGCACTGGAATCCTGAAGAAGTTGATTCTGAAGTCTGAAGGGATGCGGCAGCAGCAGGGTAGATGATCTTGCGAGCGAGAGTGAGGACAAGCAGGCAGAAAACAGAGTTCCTTCTTCCAGGTTCTTTCTGTGAATTGTCTGTCACCAGAAGACGCCACACACATTTAGGGTGAGTCTTCCTGCTTCACATAATCTGGTCAAGAAAATCCCGCACAGGGGTGCCCAATAGTTTGGGTTTTAGTTGGTTCCAGATGCAGTAAAGATTAGCTATCACAGTATCGAGAGCCATTTATCAGTGTATAATAAAAAGCAGAGAGACATATGTTTAATTTTCTGTCACTTAATAACTGGACAAGTTAACCAGTTGGCACTTTATTTTCCTATAAAGTATATTCCAGGAAAGTTGTGGGAATCACTCTAAAATGTAAACAATTCCTGGCATGAAGTAGTCAGTCAATGAGTGATAAGTTTTATGATTGTTATTGTAAATAGGTAAATCTAAACTTGTGTAATTTTTAGAACTTTAGTCTTTCTCTTTTTTTAAGTAGGATTATGTGTTTTGTCTGCATGTATGTATATACACCACATATGTACCTGAGAAGTTCAGAAGAGGGGGTTAGATTCCCTGAAACTGAACAGTGATGTGGG